CACCTTCCCCAGGGTGTGCCAGGCTGCTCTGCTCTTGGCTGAGCCCAGAGACTTTCTAGGGGAGCAGCTGGTGTTTGGGAGCAGCAGAACAGGGCTCTGGCTTTGCGTGGAAGCCACAGGCTCCAGGCATTGGGGCCCAGGCATGGGCAGAGCTGCCACGACCCACAGTGGGCGGCAGAGAACGGGGCTGGATTTCAGAGGCACAGCGCTGAGCTGCAATGACTGCCGTGTGGACTGGAAGCCTGGGCCCCTCGGGCCTTCAGGGTCTGCCAGACCACAGCTCTTTCCTAAATCTGGGCTGGAGGTGAGGGATGGGACCCACAGGTAATCACTCAGGCCTCGTCAGCCTCAAACCAGCTTTGGTGACTGACCTACTCTGCCTGCTTTTGTCAACTAGGGCGGATCCACAGGCCTCTAACTTATAGAGGAGGCTGACAGCTGAACGTGAGGGTTGCCGAGTCACCCCGTCCCCCAAACTCTGGCTGCACACTGCTAGGGGCCTGGCTTATGGGGCAGCTGGCCTGATTTTGAGGAAGGGGGAGACACACTGAGCTGCGCCTTGTCTGGCCCCAAGTCAGAGGGAAGTGGGGTCAGCCTGGGAGCTGTCTGTCTTGTTGGGACTGTCTGCTCTTTTGCTCTCCAGGCTGGGGTGCCGGTCAGGCTGGGGATGCCCACTCACTTCTCTGACCAGGCCCTGGCCACCTGGGAGAGCCGCGGGGCACTTGGGGTGCTCCATGGGGGCCTGGTCAGGCCTTCTTCCTTGGCTGCCCGCCCGCCCCATGGACACGCTAACAGAGGTGGCCTTCGGTTTGGTGCTGGGTTCTCCGCAGCTCAGTCCAGAGCATCTGCAGAGCACGGCTCAGCGGGGCTGAGCTTTGGGAAGGGGGCCCTGCTCCCTCGGGGCGTCTGGTGGCCAGAAGCTCAGTGCCGTCCCCTGCCATCCCAGTGGCAGGTGGGGAGTCTCTACCTGTGTATTCAGGAAAGCAGAGGGTCAGCGGGGACTTCTTGATCTTCTCCTCGAAGATATCCTTCTTGTTAAGAAACAGGATGATGGACGTGTCTGTGAACCACTTGTTGTTGCAGATGCTGTCGAACAGCTTCAGGGACTCGTGCATGCGGTTCTGTAACAGAGCGGAGGGGCCGGTGAGGGCAGGCGGGGCCCAGGGCCCCCCCCCGCCGAGGGAAGGCCCCCCAACGCGGCCGAACGCACCACCGGGGGACGGAGACGGGAGGACCCACAAGGACAAACGGGACGTGGTCTCCGCTTCATTCCACACGCAGGCAGGGTGGGGCGGAGCCAGGCGGGCCGGGTGGGGAATGCTGCCCCCTGCCCCCAGAGAAGGCTGACCCACGCTGGGGGCAGCGAGGTCACCGGAGGGGCTCCAGCTCACAGAGAAGACATGCACCATGCACTCGGGGCGCGGGCCGCCCCGCCATCCAACACGTCTACACGGAACCGGGGGCCATGCAGATCTCGGTACCGGGGTCGCGTTCGGATTTGCCAGCGGGGGTGGGAGATGCACGCATTCAGCCGGGGGACATTAACCGAGGACTCAGAGATCCTCGAATTAATCCAGAGTTGGAAGCAGACGCCCGGGGGACAGC